ACGTCGAAGACGGTGCACTTCGTTGACTCTACACCGTGAAGCCGGAGGTGTTTAATCATATTAGTTGTCCACCCTCCTTTGCACGAAATAACTTTACCATAAGTGTTGCACTTAGCCGAGTGGTCTTTTATTTTAGTAAAGTTGAGCCACACTTGTGAACGCCGCTGAACACCTTCCACGTTTGCAAAACAATGCGGCTCTGCGTAGTGCGTGCGCACGCTTATTCTTTGTTGGTGTTTAGGCTACTTCCGGTTGGCGGACTAAGAATCGAAACAAGGAATCGAAATTTTAGAAATTGAACGATTCCATGAGAATCGAAATGTTAGTCCCGGTTCCAATCGATACTCGAGACTCGATTCCCAACCCTAAAGGTTTGTGCCTATAAGGTCCAAAAACCACAACCTTCCTTTTGTCTGAATTTAAAAGCTGAAAACAGAAAGTCTTCCAGGTTTTTATTTTCCATTTCATTAGGCACAAACAGAGCATTTTATGTGGTTTGTGGACATTTCTTCTGTTTAAATCTAAAACATTCCATTTAAGATTGCACATGCCTAATTAGTGCTATTTCTTAGTCATAAAGTCCTGAACAGAGATTAAACACACTGGTCACTGAGGAGTACAGTTTGCCTCAGTGTGAAGTTCATCATTTGCTGAAAAGATTCATCTTAACGGGAGGCTGAAAAGCTACCGTGGAGCAAAATCTTAATGCAAAAGCTTTAGAAAGAATAAAATGAATGCAAACAGGATTCCAATGGGTGTCCTACAGAGAGGAAGTAAAAAAGTAAGGAAAGAAGGTCAGACCTGGTCTCAGCTGGATCAGCTTATTGCCTTCATTTTAGGCCAAAAGGCAGCAGGATGGTTTGAGCAAAAAGAGATTAACAAAAGCTAATCAAAAATAAAAAATAATTCACCATTCCCAGTGAGAATAGATACYTCCAATGTTGAAATCCAATGCATTTTTTTAAAAAAGACTCCCTCACCGAATGAGGGCTCAAATTGTTCGAAAAAAAAAAAAAACAACATCTGTATGTGTGCTCTAAATAATGCATGAGGTGCTTACTTTCTCATTGCACATTCTTCCTTTGCAAATACTGGTTTGTGTGCAGGAAATGGCACACATTTTTCTGTGAACGCAACAATTTATGCATCAAGCTCCATGTGAGGAAACAGAATCACACCATTCCTTTTCCCTTTTCTGCACAAGTCATGGCTTGTCTGAAAGCATTTTTTTCTTTCCTTTTTTTTTRCTTAAAAGTAACGTAAGATCACTTTAACTCATCTCATCCAAGGCTTTTTTCTTCAACCGAGGAAATTAACATTTGTTTACGCTTTAGAAACCTATAAATCAACTCGGCTGCCTATGCTGTTTTCTGACATTTTCTGAATTTTCTGGGTTATGGACGGACGGACGGACGGATAATAGATTATTTCTACAACAGCATCCTTTGACAGGTCCAACTGCCCTGTTTTATTATTTTAACGAAACAAATCAGCGTCTAAATCTATTAAGATATTCCATTACGCATCTGTTACCTCTCCAAATAGTTCCATAAATTTAAGCTCAGCATGAAAGGCAAACAGCCATGATCATCAGCCCAGCCTTTCTAGAAGACAAATGGCAGCAGATCAAATATAACCACTCTGTGCATTACAGCACTATGCCTGGGACTACAACAATTTATTATCACAACAGCTATTCAGCAAAGGATTACTCAGAATGGGGATTGACGTAATTTACTCTCTTTTGTGTTGGTGAAATGAATTTACTTGCTGAAATTATATCACAAGACTCAGAGACGGTGGCTTGAGAATATTTCTTGAAACATTAGAGCCTCCTGAGATTGATGACCCATTTTAAATACATTTTAGTCACATAATTTCATATAAAAATGAAAAAGTACAGAGAGCTGCAAAAGTATTCTTTCTATGTMGTTGTCTTATAATATAGAACTTTATTGGATTTTTAATTTGATTAGAGGTAACAGTCTTACACAAAATGCAAAATTAATGAAACACTTTTTTCTAAAGAATGTACAAAATAATTCAGATGTTAGTTGGACTAAAATGATAAAGACTAACCTTTAGTAAAGAGTGGTGACAGTAAAGCCGCAAATCCCCCTTTAAGTTTGACATATTTTAGAATGAATTAACACAACTTATTATTATTTCTTTTTTGTTTTTTATTGTGTTCCTGCATTTTATTTTGTCTACTGTTTTAATGAGACAAGTCCTTGACTGAAGTGTAAGCACTTTGGTCAGCTTTTGTTGTTTTCAGCGTGCTATATGAGTTAATTTGACAGTGACAGTTTTATTCCAGGTTGTAAGGCAACAGAACAGAAGGATTATTGGGGGTTGAATGCTTTTTACAAACCCACTCTCTGAGAGTTAAGTTCGATAACAGACACCCGCAAATTACTGTGAAAAAAAAAATACAACAAATTACCCAACAGCAAGTAATAATATCCGTCTTGACAGACCCAAACCCAAGAGTGACTGGTATCAGCACATTTCATGTGTTGACCTGCTAAAATCGCTAACTTTAGCTCGGTGAAGTGCGTTGAGAGCGACCAAGGTCACGCATGGTGAGAATTAATCGCAGCGAGCAAACAGTCTGCCCTGAGAWGCCTCAGCATGGGCTTTATCTCTGTATGCTCATACTAACACCTCTGTCAACAGTCAACTTTGACAAGCTCTGGCTGGTTTGTTGTCCTTTGAATGAGCTGCCAGCTTCCCAATTAAGAGCTCCGCCAGTCCCCTTCAGAGCAATGCGTCGCCCCACACGGCCCCAGTGGTGCATTAATAAGAGCAGCACACGGGCAGCTTCGCTAATGTTTCGGAGCTCTACCTCTTGAATTTTTATTTTATTATTTTTCCTGTGCTTTGCCTCTTTTCATGACACAGAGCTGTGAAAGCCTGGAAGCTTTTCATCTTACGAGTTCTGCGTTTCAAACACAAAACATRCAAACATGAATGGCCCAGCATTGAACAAACACGTCTCTCCCTGCACCTTTAATGAAAAAGATTTAAACTAAGATCATCTTAGAAAGAAAATAGACAGAGTTGCAGCAATTTTAGCCAGACCTTCTAAATGATATTATGCACAGTCTCATTGAATGTTGCAAGATCTGTTAGACTCTCAGCTACTACCACAGCAATAATTGAATGAGTTGTAGCCATTTTTGTGCAGGTTAAGGTCAATCCAGTGATAATGTTACAATTTTCTTTTCGGATCAAATGACTTTTCTTATAAAAAAGAACAACCTATCTGGCACATTTTTACTTTTTCTTTTGTATAATCTGATTTATATTTCATTTTATGTAAAAAAAAAAAAAGTCAAACGTAAGCGACAAATTAGTGAAGCTCAATGTAATTCATATTTCTACCTTACAGAGAGAAATATTCTGATGTAATAAGAACTTTTAAGCGAAAACTAATTGTAAGAGTGAATGAATATTCTAGCTGTGACCTGTATTAGATTAGCAGCACATCAAAAGTTTTCATGCTTTCATATCAGCCCCACCCCCACCAGGCAAGGCAGAGGAAAGAGAGAGAGAGAGAGGGGAAAGAAAAAAATACTAATGTATTTGTCAAAACCCCTGACAGCAGAAGAAATCTGTTTCTGCCTCCACAACTCTTCTGGGTCGTGTTTAAGTGTTTCTGGGAAATAAGCCTGTTTATCTGCCAGCCGTGACGAGATAATACTCTTTGTCCACTTTCTTCTCTGCTCCGGAATGATCCATATCATATTTGATAGCAGGTTAACAGAGAGAAAGACAAGATAAGAACAATTCCCCAAAGTTGTTCAAAGTATTAAACTAATATATTAGATGTAAATATTTGCATTTTGGCATTTTATTTATTACTTTGCTCTTGRTTTTTGTTGTTGTGCCAAAATGAAGAACATTTTTTATTTATATCAGCATGCAGTTTGTAACAATATTATTAAATTATCTTTTCTAAATTCTAACTGTAACTCTTATTCTTTGAAAAATATTAACAAAAACATCATGTTCTGGTAAAGTGCTTTTTAAATCTTTTTTTTTTTTGCATTTTTTATTTATTATTATTTTTGATGCATATTTTTTACACAGTAATGATCTCTTCTAAATTATGTGTACTTCATAACCAAATTAAAGCTAGTGTTCATTAAATAAATGCACCCACCACCTTTCATGCCAGAGTTTTAGACACAAACTTTGAGAAATGATTTGGAGCCAATTCAGGGGCAGAAGCTAAACTTTTTTGCAAGAGGTGGCACAGGGGTGGCRYAGGRGTTTTTTATGGGGGGCACATACAAATAAAATAAAGCAATCTAGATTTGAGAATTCAAGATGGCCACCACACCTGTCAGCTGTTTTAAAAAATATTGAGCTGAATTTTTTTGTGATCAAAGCTCATAATAATGGAAAAAAAACATGCCAAATGCTAGTCACAATTTATTTTTTTGCCATTTTTAGCCACACAAAGCTAAAGATTAGTGTAAAAGTAGCCGAAAACAATCTTTGCAATATTCTAAATACTAGTCAAAAATTCAAGATGGCCACCACAGCTAGCTTTAAAAGGCTATAATTCAGCAATTTCAAAATTGAGTAAATTAAATTTGATGTGGAGTGGCTAACTGAAAACCAGCYCCAATCCTAAAGCAAGCTAACCAATAATGCTAATGCTAATTTTCCAAAGGACTTTAATTCAGCCATAAATATACACAGCAAAAAAAATGTTTTTTTTTATTGTTATATATAGTACAGTAGTATCACAGAACAATCTTTAACAAAACTTAAATGCAAATGTAAAATCCAAGATTGTCTAATTTGGGGGTGGCCCGTCAGGTGCCAGGGGTGGCAATTGCCACCCCGGCCACCCCACTGTCTCCACCCCTGATTCAATTTGGCCAAGCCTTGAAAATCTCCTGTTGACACGATCTGTTGCAGTCAAAGAGCAAATGGTTTTTCTTTTTCTTTTTATTTCAGTACATAATACGTATATTTTATCTCCGCAGGACTACAACGATGAGATCAGACAAGAGCAGCTGAGAGAATTYTCCCTGCTGAACGGTTCTGATGAGTCGAGCCGAGGAAGGAGCTTACAGGGGAGGAGTCCCCGAGCAGCAACAACGATATCCACAAGGTAAAGAGTTTTATTCCAGTCAGATGAGTTTAGGTAACAGAAAAATGTTATTTACATTAAAAGTTGCTGAGAATCTAAAAGGCCTTTTGCATCCTACGTTTGCTCATGCTAAAACGCTTGCTTTTAAGACTAAATTTGAAATTTGTGTAAATAAAAACCAGAATGCCCACATTTATGGTAAAAATGTCTGCTCTTTCTTCCTTCTTGGGGTTGGAGTTTATTATACTAAAAAGTAGTTTTCTTTTTAAATATTTTTCTTTCCTTGTGAATCAGATTTCTTCTCTTTGTAAGACTCAAATGAGATTTGGGAATCCAGGCAGGACCAGAAAATGAACATTTTGACTGACTTATCCACGTATTCAGCTGCATGTGTGAAACACCTTTAAAGCGAATTGTCCGTAATCTACCTGAGCCGTGGAAGTCCCTCGGGAGAACGCAGGAACATTGTGCCATGACAGCCTGGCCTAATTCAGGCAGCGCCTTGTAGATGAGCTAAATCCAGCAGTAGCATGGGTCGCTCTCAATTTTAAATCACCACCAACACTTCCTTACCTAGATTTTTCTCTCCGTGCTGTAGCGAAAAGCAATTTTTGTAAAGCTCCATGTAAAAAAAAAAGAAAGAAAGGGGGAAAAAATGCACCAGAAATTCTCCTTTGAGTGTTTATATTTTTGGATTACAATGGGTTGCTACCTGAAGAAGGATGTGCCAGAGCGGGAAAACAGGTGTCCTATAATGGTAAGTAACAGTGTTACATCCCTTGTGTTGCTGCAGTGGCCCTGTGGTTCAGCTGCTGGACAGTCCCACTTTTATAACAGAAACAACCTGCCTTAAATACCTCACAGCTGCCCCCCACCCTGAGGTCTCTCTGCTGCGGCATACAAGATCACTTTCCATACCTGCGTGACTGCAGCCTGAGGCGTGCATTCTAGGGCAAACAAATATTGCTCTGCTAAGTTATACTGAGACAACCTTGTTGCATCAGAGGAGCTGTTTCGCAGAGCAGAAAGAGACACTTGTTAGTCCTCACATCAGAATTCTATCCACCTTGGTAGTTTTATATAATTTCACCTAAAATGTCCTGATGCATCTCAGTAATCCAGGTAAAAAATCAAAAAGAAAAAAAATTGTATAGGTCTTCTGGACGGGTTCTCCTCTAATGAAACGTTTCGTCTCTTCTCCAAGAGACTTCTTCAGTCTGAGAGTTTCAGGCAAAATTCAGGCTTTTAAGCACTGCTTCAAAAGAATGTCCCAACACAGACGAGCTACATCTAATGGCCAGAACTCTGCAGTTTTCACTCATTTACAGGCCAGCAGTCACTCTTTCAGAGATGAGGATGTTCTCATTCTTGATAGAGAGGAACGTTGGTTTGAGAGAGGAGTAAAAGAAGCCATTTTTGTGAAGAAAGACCYTCAATCATTAAACAGAGGTGGAGGCCTCCGTTTTCAGTTGTCCCCCTCCTACAGTGCTGCTATTGCCAGTATCACTCCARCCCTGTTAACAATAGGTGTTAATTAGGTGTCAACGATAGTCATGTGATGTGAGTATCAGTCACATGGAGGCAGTGCTTAAAAGCCTGAATTTTGCCTGAAACTCTCAGACTGAAGAAGTCTCTTGGAGGAGAGACGAAACGTTTCATTAGAGAAYAACCCGTCCAGAYGACCRARACAATTTTTTTTCTTTTTCACCTAAAATCAATTAAAAAATCAACGAATAACAAAAAAATGCTTTGAATGCTGCCTTTTAWGCTAGAAACTAAAATGATCTTAAGTTGAGAACAGATGAAGTGACAGCCATTTTGGTCAACTCTGGTCATTGACTTGAATATTGCAAGATTTCATAAGCTCTGTCCAAATTCAGGGGCTGCGTCCCCCCAAGGCCCAATTTGTCGGCCGCAGACAACACAGCGCTGCGCCGAAGGCTGTCCAAATTCGAAGACTTCTCCGAGGCGGCCGACAAATGCCTCCTCCTTTCCCCCCCGATTTGAGGGCCACCACATTCCATAATGCATTGTGGGCCYACCAGAGATTTTTTCCTGCTCATAGTGGTAGACGAAGTGYGAGAAAGGAGTACAGTTTTCAAAAATAAATCTGACGGTATAAAAATTACAAGTTTAAAGCGGTTGTTTTGGTAATGCTTTTTACAATGTTTTTTTAAAATATAATATTATTCAGCTCAATTAAACTCAAGTCAGTTTATTTATWTAGTGCTAAATCACAAGAATTGTTGTCTCGGAGCACTGTACACAAAAAAATAAAAAAAAACAATCAATCTAAAGAAGCCAGCAGACTGTGACGAATCTTCACTTCGTCACAGTCTACGATCCTGAGCAGCACACCGGCAGCAGTGAAGAGGAAAAAGAGAAATTTATTTGTGCCTTATTCTTGTCAGAAATCAAATAAGCTGGTATAGCAAAATAAACATCCAGGTACGGTGGGTCCATTCTTCAAATATTGCCTTTAAGCTAATTTTGCTMTTTTCTAATATTAATAATGATAATAATATATTGATATTTTGCTAATTTCAATCTATTTTTGCTTCTGTTAATCATCGTCACGATTGCTAGGTGACAGGATATACGSCGGTGTAATGGCAGGAATGAACCAGAAGGCTAGATCGTCCAAATTCACAGCCACTTTCTTCTGGTCCTCCCGATATACCAAGGACCCYGCCCACCAAGACCGGATAGGCCAGGTCCTTCAAAGGACCCAGGCCTCAAATTTGGACACAGCCATAAAAATGTGTTGGAGGTGACTCTTAGCTACTACTATACCAGGTTTTAGCTCAGTATCTGTAAAACTGGCTACATTATAGTATTTAATTTTTGGCCAGATTGATTAGCCGAGGTGGCCATCTTGATTTTTTTTTTTTTTGCCTCCAAAAGGTAATCAATTGTAGATGTACAACTGAGTGGTTATTATTTGAGAGTTTCATTAAAACCTGTCCACTGGTTCYTGAGTTTTTTTGCTAATGCTACAGACAAAAGAACACACACAGGCATGAGCTAAAACATTACTGCCTTGATGACCATCAGCTGAAATGGACTGCAAACACACACAGATAAGAGCAGTTTAAAAGATTTCCTTAATGCCATAATTCCACTTTGCCACTAAAATCTKTCCAGTTTATTAGAAAAAAATGCTGGAGGGGCGAGATTCACAATTGATGCCATGCTTGTTTTGTTTTTTTGTTTTTTTTACCAGAGGGCACAGAGGTGGTGGAAGGAGCGCCGCGGCACCTCGGGGGACAGCGACAGCAACACATAGCAAACTTCCCGCCGCCGTTCTGACGAGGGACACAAAAGCTCCAAGGGCCAGGGGGGCGGCAGCGAATGCCGGATACAGACCCTCACTGCTAGCAGTCACACATGAATCATACGACGACTATGTAAGTCCAATCCTCTTTGCACAAATGGGAAAGTCTGTCTGGTTGAAGTGTGTGCAAATCAGACTTGGTTTAATCCCTTTGGATGGGCTCGGGATGAGTGCTGGTTTTTATGGAGATGCTGGACTCACTGGGGCATGWGTTTTAAGAGAAAAGGCAAGAAATTACAGAATTACAACCCATTCTATGTAGTGAACCTTCTGTACTAATACTCGATAATTCAAAGGTAGGCTCATATTTTATTTTTTTTATCAATTTCTTTTTTAAAATCCTATAGATTACATCTCATGATACATTTCTGCTGGAGTAAACCATCCATCAGGCTGACATGATTTGCAATTAAAATAACCAAACAACATCTAATTATACATTTGTCTTGATCCTGGGTCTTTGAGTTTTTAGTTTGAATTAGTTTTTTTTTTACCATGTTTCTCATTTGTTTTACTATAAGATTCCTTATTTGACTTGTTAACTCTGTCCAATTTACAGATAATGGGCTACAATCGGTGCGTCAGTWTAGCAGAGAGTTATTCCTAACACATACTCTGCACTGACAGATCACATGAGGTCTTTGTTTTAAAACTTCGGCATCAAATCCCCTGCCGCCTTACACGCCTTCAAGGAATACTAGACCTTTAACTTCAAAATGAATCAGAAAACTAAGCAGATATTTCGTTGACAAACAAAAGAAAACTTTACCGAAGGCAATTCAGTGCAAGACGAAACGGGACTTAAACCAGAACAACAAAAATCTTCAGCAAAAACAAGCAAACAGGCAAAAATCCAACTCTGACAATCATGATAAACGGAGATGTGTGTTAAGGGCTTCAGGCGTAGGCTGTTTGAGAACCACTATAGCAAATACCATGAAAATCATGTTTTGGCACCATGTTCATTTGGTCACTTGCAGTAACTTTGTTMGAGCTGATTTTCACTTTTTGATTGAAGCCTGTGGCGCTGCGCTTGCATTGCATCGGTCTCCACTGAATGGAGGCCTAAAATTAGTAGCTACAATGCATTTGTTTGTAGCTGATTGAAAAACACAAAACATCAGTGGGGTTCTCTGGAGGAAGCAAACAAGCATACTGTGAAGATGAAAATATTACATGTGCTGTGGCAGCAGCCACTACAGGGCTCCCCGAGGTAACATCGCGCGCGAGAAAGTCACACATCCACAAAGCTCGGCGCTGTGAAGAGTTGCACCATTAAAATGCAAAGGAAGAACCCTCAAACTAGAGGGGCGGTTATGGCGCCTTGATTAGGGGTCGGTAAAATCTCTCACTTGACTCAAAATAATTCAGGGACTCGCGTTCTGCTAAGAAACATCCCTGTCCTCAGATCTGAGGAATTTCTCAAGGTCATTTTGAAAAGGTGTGTTCTAAGTTTCATCCAAATGAGAAAAGGCAACACTTTTACCAGTTTATTTCCTCAGAGCTTTCCTGCTAGTAAAAGAAAAAAAAAAAAGGAGAGAGAGCCTGTGTGTGCAGGCAGTTGAAGATTGGGCTGTCTGCATGGGGAAATGCACAAGCGCGGTCTCATTACCAAACCAAATTGAGTCCTGATGTAGGGCCCCGTGTTTTTCTGAGTTGAGGAAAAGCAAGGCATTTCTTCTCTTTGTAATTGGAGGTTGGAGAGGAAGCTGGGCGCACAGAGACCAGGGGATTATAGAGAGATGAGTTTGTCCTCAACGTTCTCCTCCTTCATATCTTTGCTGTATTGTTATTTTTATACTACATTACGCAATTTCATTTAAGGATYTTTCCTTCAAAGATCTGGGTTTGTTTATTTTGTTTTATTTATTTTTTATATGCATGGAGTGGAAAAGATGCTGAGCTTCTGGGTATTTTTTCACGCAAAATTCTCGCAATAACAGTGTGCAATAATAAATCAGCAGCAAGTCTTGTGTATATAGCCAGTGTTTTCCTTGAGAAAAATACCAAGAGTATTGCACCGTTCCTTCAGAGGATATTGATTGATGGATACTGTCAAACTGTCAGTTTGTTCCATAAAAACGATACCATGAAAAAGTCCATAATGGTTCCTAATCGGGGGGTGGTATTGATTTAAAATGGTGAAGGAAAACATTAGGAAGCTGGCAGTTATCATGTATCAATGTTTGTTTCGTAGTTTATGAATGTAACYTTTTCATTTTATCATTCTACCACAAATCCCGCTTTACTGTATCCTTTACACCACTACGCGACTGCTTTGTTCCTCCCAGAGTGCAGCTCTTTGGGAAATTATTCTAGTGAGATGCTCTTTTTTTCCCCCGTCAACTAATCCCCGAGAGTCTCTAAAACCAGCAGAGAATTGATCCCACTAAGTACTGTCTGTGTAGCCAGTGATTAATATGGCTTATTCTTCTGAGCCATAGAGCTCCAGTGTTGTGCAAAACCACACAATTACTCTGGGTGACATGTTCTTACATTATGATGAGCTCCTGCCTGATGACTTATTTTAACTCCAGCCCACATAGACCATCCTGCTGCCGTATTCGCTGACGCACCAAAAAGTTCATTACGCTGTTAATTAATGCGCATCTATGAATAGTTGTGAAGAGAAGTGCAGATTATTCCAGTGCATAAACCAAATCCAAAAAAAAAAATGTTTTCATGGTTTTTATATGAGCAGGACTTTTATTTTTTATTTTTTGTCACAGGCAAATCACCTTAAAACTTCCTTTTAGTGAACCATTTACCCACATGTATCCATGTGTGTATGGGTGGAGTTGGTTTTATCAGTCTAAGATTTCAGGTGGRGCCTTTGCACAAATTTCTACATCTCATCTCTAATTTACGTACACTCCTATTATTAATAATTCATTAGTTTTTTTTATTTGATATTAGGTTGTCCAATTAAAATAGTTAWAATAATTCATTTGAAACAGATTATCAGGTGTCTACCTCATACCTGCTGACATTTACTGACAGCAATGAGGAACACCTCTTCATGTTAATGAGCAGCTGTGGAGTGAAGCAGTTCTAGGGGGTGTATAATACCCCTGGAAAATTTTGTAAAGGATCTACTCAAAACTATGCATTTTCCAGCCYTTCGAAGAGCATTTTATTAAATTCTTGGGATTAATAAAACAGCATTAAATCAGTATTTTATGAAGGTAGAACACTGTAAACTTTAACCTGAACTTTATCTGGGACCACAACTGAAACTTCCATTAGCCTTATTTTGTTTTCTGCTCACACACTGAGCACCAGTAGTTAGTCTTGACTGCGTCATATGATACCTTGTCACAGAATATCCCCAGCGCCATATAACCTCATGTAGTAACAAAGCAAACCCACAGAACAAGTTACCTTCATAAACCTGAGTAACCAGTGATTATTCTACAGGCTAAGTCAACTATACTCTGATAAAAAGTTATAGAATGTTTTTCCGTCCCCCATTTGTGGCAGCCCCCCTAAATGGATGGTGCCCTTAGCATTGGCCTATACTGCCTATGGCACACCCTGGCAGTGGTTTGCTGTGGTGACCACTGCAGAAGGGAGGAAACTGAAAAAAACAAATGAACTTAATATTTGTGATTCAGTTTTGCGTGAGATTGCTCATAACATTATCTTCTAGGTCTAAGCAAAATAGCTACAATGAATTTCACAGCATAAGACGACTTTAGTCTAAAGACAGCATGAGAAATGCATTCCTTCAAGAAGTGCTAGGCCTTTAACTCAAAATGGCTTTTCTCCCTTGCTTTTTACTGTAAATATATCATGTTATTTGAATAAAAGTAAAAACAGAACTAGACAGATTTTATGAACGTGCAGCTCAGCAAGCTAATATCTTCGCTGCGCATCTTCTAGTACAGACCAATTTGCATAAAGTTGTGTGTTTATTGGCAGCACAGACAGACACACACACACATCCTTTGGGTCCCAGTTGTTGTATTTACTGACTGAATGACAGACGGAGGTTCCCATAAATGTTTGTGGTGTTCTCTTTGCAGGTATTCATGTGACAGACGTTTCTCTGGAGACTGGAGTGATAAATGGACTCTGTCATGCTGTCAGTGTCGTAAAACGGGCACAGAGACAGTAACAGTTATGGTGCCTCTTAAAAAACTGCTGCACTTCAGAAGAAAACCGAGTCACTGTGTTTATTCAGGAGAGGAGTTTACAAGAGTTTTGTCATTTTCAGCCTCGCATCAGTAGAACAAGTCACATTACTGTCATCAGTTTTTATCAAGTTCTTCACCTGTTATCCTGGTCCAAGAATGTTGATTATCACTTTACACAAAGACAATCAAAGGTTGCAGAAGGGTGGTAACATTTTTAATATCCTTAGAATATTGTTATATTCTTTCAATTTATTTTTTTGGCCACCATCATGAAAGGTGGTTTTCGCTTATGTGTGCATGTGTCTGTCTCTTTCTGTCTGTTAGCAAAATACCTCATTAAAATTCAAACACTATCCTGTAAAGGATGCCTGTTTCCTAGTAATAAACCCACAACACTTGGCAAATAACCACTGCGGTTTTTATAAATTTCCATTGTTGATTGAGACTAAGGCTTTGCGAGTCCTAATGTTCAATTCATTTTTTTTTCTTTTTAACATTATAATTTAAACGTGACCACAGACTCCAGTGTAAACAGCCCTGAAGTGACCTGCATGTGCAGAAGAAGACATGACATCAGACAAAGTGTTAAAGGGAAGAAGGAGACTGAGGAAAAAAGAGAGCAACATTTTTAATAAGACGTGTTTCCATTAATGTTTTTTTATGCGCATTTTGAAGTATCGCATTAGCCCTTAGAAAAACTTCCTTAATTTTGGGGAAAAAAAAGTTTTACGCTCGCTTGAGCTGGTTTTTTTACTTTTCTGAAAAAGAGTTAATACACAAAAGAGGGGATGGAAACACATTTGCCAAATAATTTCTGACGTAGCGAATATTTACCTCCATCAGCTGTTCCCGCTGACCAATAATTGTAGCAGCTGCAGCGTCGGCGTCTTCCCGGATATTCCCGTAACGTGAAGAGAATTACATTTCTTTTTCTACG